TAAGTACTCTTTCTTCCTCCACACTTCTTAGCCTCTCACACCATGGCTAGGCTTTCTCTCTCTCTCTGTCTCGCTCCGTCTCTTTTTTTTTCCTTTTTGGGACGGAGTCTCACTCTGTCGCCCAGGCTGGAGTGCAAATGGCACTATCTCGGCTCACTGCAACCTCCGCGTCCTGGGTTCAAGGGATTCTTCCACCTCAGCCTCCCAAGTAGCTGGGATTACAGGCACGCGCCACCATGCCCAGCTAATTTTTGTATTTTTAGTAGAGACGGGGTTTTGCCATGTTAGCCAGGCTGGTCTCGAACTCCTAACCTCAGGTGATCCACCCGCCTCGGCCTCCCAAAGTGCTGGGATTACAGCCGTGAGCCACTGCACCTCCCCGGCTTACTCTCGCTCTAAACCATGCTTTCTACTCAGGAACTACCTTCCAGAATAAAGGGTAGGATGGATGCAAGAAATGCACAGTTAACTATGTCAGACTGTGGTCTTAGCTGCTAGCTTGAGATGAACACGCTATGTGTTCTACTAAATCGTACCAGGTTAGAATGTTCGCGTGAGGCCCATGCACAAGACAGAGTAAGAATTACTCCACCAACCACTCAGACCCAGGACACCTTTTGTGAGCACGTTGCCTCTACTGAAGGCTCCCTAAAAGCAGCTTGTTAATATTTGTATCCCCAAAGCCTGGCGCAGGCCTGGCCCCCCACAGGCACTCATAACTGCCTACTGAAGCGAACAGACAAAATCATTTAGGTGTAATCCCCATGCAGCTGTTGAGAAGTATTTTTTTATAGGCAGGGAAAATTAGGTCCAAAGAGACTAAAAGTTGAAGTCAGTTAAAGAACGTAGTATTTGGGCCAGGCGCAGTGGCTCACTCCTATAACCCCAGCACTTTGGGAGGCTGAGGCAGGTGGATCACGAGGTCAGGAGTTCAAGACCAGCCTGGCCAAGGTAGCAAAACCCCATCGCTACTAAAAATACAAAACCACCTGGTGAGGCAGTAATCCCAGCTACTCGGGAGGCTGAGACAGGAGAATCGCTTGAACCTGGGGGGTGGAGGTTGCAGTGAGCCCAGATCATGCCACTGCTCTCCAGCCTGGGTGACACAGTGAAACTCCATCTCAAAAAAATAAAAAACAAAAAAAAGGCTGGGTGTGGTGGTTCATGCCTGTAATCCAGCACTTTGGGAGGCCAAGGTGGGCGAATCACGGGTCAGGAGATCGAGACCATCCTGGCTAACACGGTGAAACCCCATCTCTACTAAAAATACAAAAAAATTAGCCGGGTGTGGTAGCGGGCGCCTGTAGTCCCAGCTACTCGGGAAGCTGAGGGAGGAGAATCGCCAGAACCCGGAAGGCAGAGCTTGCAGTGAGCCAAGATCACGCCAGTGCACTCCAGCCTGGGTGACAGAACAAGACTCAGTGTCAAAAAAAAAAAAAAAAAGAAAGTAGTCTTTGATGCCATCCATCCAGAGCAGGACTTCATCCTGTGGCCAAACCCTACTTGCCACCACTCCCCACAGCCACCTCTGCTCCATTCAGACTGGGGCTCACAGACGTGCCCGTGCCCCACTCCCTGCCTCATTCAGCCGTCCCTAGGCCCAGTGATCTTGTTTTCTGCATGCGGAGTTCCTACCCATCCTTTATGAACAGCCCTGAGATTCAAAGAAGCCAGTCGCTGTCACCCCAGACTCTTCTGAATTCTTTCTGACTCCTTCGGCACTTACAGTCTACTCCACTCATAGTTTCATGCATCTCCGCCTTCTCTCCTGAAACCGTAAATCCATTGAGGACAGTGATCAGAGACGGACCAGCTCTTTTTTTTTTTTTTCTTTTGGAGACAGAGTCTCACTCTGTCACCCAGGCTGGAGCGCAGTGGCGCAATCTTGGCTCATTGCAACCTCTGCCTCCCAGGTTCAAGCGATTCTCCTGCCTCAGCCTCCTGAATAGCTAGGATTACAGGCACCTACCACCATGCCCGGCTCATTTTTATATTACTAGTGGAGACAGGGTTTCACCATATTGGCCAGGTTGGTCTCAAACTCCTGACCGCGAGTGATCCACCACTTTGGCCTCTCAAAGTGCTGGGATTACAGGCATGAGCCACCACAACCAGCCTACAGCTGCTGTTTTTAATCATTAGCTTTGTCGTTGTTATTTTATTTCTGTATTCCCCCTCCCTCCCACCAACCCCCCACCCTCGCACGTTCTTTTAAAAGAATATCAACAACACTAAATATCACGAAAGACACTTTGTCACAACAGTACAGAATATACATTAGAACCTCATTCTGTCCATTAATCATTTACCTGAACTGAAATGACCTATTGGCTACCTGGCAATGGGGAGCCATCATCATCTTTACAGTCAAGCATCTTATGAGCAATGGTGAACCCTGGGGCCTGGTAGGGTATTGTCCTTCACAGGTCACAGAAGGGCCAGCTGTTTCACACACCCTCTCCGGATAGAAAATTCAACCCTAACTTAAGTATCCTGTTATTAACAGTGACAGTTTCAATTTACTGAGCTTCTATTATGTTCCAGATACTATGCTAAGTGTTTTCATACATTATCTCATTTAAACTACATCACTCTGTGAATATGAATCTCTCTCTCTCTCTCTCTCTCTCTCTCTCTCAGAAGACTGACAAACTAAACCTCAGAAAGGCAACACAATCTTCTGGGGTCACACAGCCAAGAAATGGGCCAGGTCAAAATTCAACTCAGGTCTTCCTAACAGAAATAACACGCTCTTTCCACTTGCTATATATCCCTACATCCCTTATATTTGTTTTTGTTTTTTTTTGTTGTTGTTGTTTGCTTTTTTGAGATGGAGTCTCACTCTGTTGCCCAGGCTGGAGTGCAGTGGCACAATCTCAGCTCACTGCAACCTCTGCCTCCCAGGTTCAAGCAATTCTCCTGCCTCAGCCTCCTGAGTAGCTGGGACTACAGGTGCATGCCACCACGCCTGGCTAATTTTTTTTTTTTTTTTTTTTTTGTATTTTTAGTAGAGATAGGGTTTCACTGTATTACACCAGAATGGTCTCGATCTCCTGACCTCATGATCCGCCCGCCTTGGCCTCCCAAAGTGCTGAGATTACAGGCATGAGCCACCGTGCCCGGTCATACTTGTATTTTAAATCCCCTTTAACTTCTACCCCTCATCTACGACCTTGTCATTTTAAAGGTGTAGAGCTTCCTATTTTAAAGAGGACAGAAGAGAAAATAATTCCCCCAAGTGTTCTGGCTCCCTCCATTAACTGGCTGGAAATTAGTTTTTGGAGTGTGGCTGCCACGCAAGAGAACCTGAAGAGAGTGAGAAAGGCCACGAGGAAGAAGTTAGGAAGTGAAAATTCAGAGACTCTCCAGTGGGCAGCAAGGGACAAAATGTCAAAAAGGTGGGAAAACACTCTTTTGGGGTCCATCATGCATTAAAAAAGATACTATGCCAGAAAGTAAAGAAAGGCTCCAAAATGCTAATTAGCTAACAGGAGAGACCTCAATAAGTTCCCAGGACCCACTAAAGGCTGGAAAGTAAGCTAGAATTTCATAAGCAAAGCAGAAAATAAACAAATCACTACTGCCAAAATCAGGCCCATAAGAACACCAAAGATCCTGGCTCATAAAAGATGTTTTACCAGTCCTTCAACCAACCAGGAGGAACCCAGTCTTCAAACAAATTAATCAGCATTCTTGACTGATCAAGTGGCATAAGCCACTGCCTTGGGTGAAAAGGCAAGTTGCTTTTTTATTAAGGAAGTCCCATATGGTGGCCATGTCAGTATTCCTTTACCTACACTTTGGGCTTTCCTTATCCAGGATTCTGGCCATCTCTGGTGTCCCCAGGTGTCCACATCCCCTCTGTAGGATTAACAGATAATCCTGAATAACATTCTCTCTACATTGCCAACAAAAGATTTCAGCTTTGGTAAATATAATATGAGGTAGGGGAGGGAGCAACAGTCAAAGTGCAGAGTACTACAAAGAATATCAAAACTTGAGAAGTTTAAGGGACCTACCACATCTCATCTCCAAACACTTTGACAGGGGAACTTCAAATCAGAAAGGGCACAAGGTCATACGAAGTCACTGGCAAAACCACTGCTAGAGTCTGGGCTTCCATAATTCCCAGACCAGGGCTCTTGTCATTAAATAACACAGCCTCCCTTCTTTCCTGGGAGGCACTGCAGGCATGCCATCCCCCTGCCAAGATAATCACCCTCCAAGAGCCCCTCCTCCCATCCCAGTCCCTCCTACAGCCCAGCTGAGTTGCAGCTCAAATTAGCAAGTCCCGGAGCAGGGGGCATTTCTGGGAGGGTGCCCAGTCTGATGGTTGCTGGTACCGAAGAGGAGGGACAAAGATGGAGAAGAAGGTGACATCCCACAAAGGGTCTGGGAGAACTAGGTCCTTGGGGCAGTGGCAGCGAGCTTGCTGGGCTGGATAAAGACACATGCAGTGGCATCTCCCAAAGGGCATTGGGGAAGCAGACCACCAGTTGGTACCACCTCTAGAAGCAAAAGGAAGGGCTGAGTCCTGATGGGCAGGGAAGCCTGGGGCATCTCCGAGTTCAAGTTGGGCCTCGGGGTGCCTCCTGGCAGAGTGGCACTGGCGCCTGTCAGGTGGCACCAGTGCCCGGGAGGAGGCCCCAGGACACAGATGCCCTGCCTGCCCGTGGGATAGCACCGGCACCCGGCGGAGGCTCAGTCCGCCCGTGAGGTTGCACCGGCGCCCGGCGAAGGCCCGACGACCAGGATGCCCAGCCCGTCTGTGAGGTGGCACGGGCGCCCAGCAGAGGCCCAGCCCGCCCGTGAGGTGGCACCGGCGCCCAGTGAAGGCCCGACGACCAGGATGCCCAGCCCGCTCGTGGGGTGGCACCCGCGCCTGGCGGAGGCCCAGCCCGCTCGTGAAGTGGCACCGGCGCCCAGAGGAGGCCCGCGGTCCTCACCACCCGGATCAGCTGCCGCGGTCGCCCAGCCTCCCGCCCCACACGCGGCCTTACCGAGGCACTGCCCCACCGGGGTGCTGAACGGGTTCCCCAGGAGGAACTCCATCTTGGGTGGACAACACGCAGCGGCCCGGGCCCCCTGTCTGCCACCGAAGTCTCAGCGGTAACCCGCCGGACTCCCGTCCTGACTGACACTTGCCCCCTCCCCACCCTCTGGAACGCCGAGCGCCGGGACCTTGGCCCCGCCCCCTTACCGCGTCTCTATTGGGGGACACCTACAAAGCCCGCCTCCGATTGGCCGTTACACCTCCGTCAGCAAAGCCCCCACCCACCCCGCAGCGTCCGATTGGGCCGAGGAGCGAGGTAGGTCACCGGAGTCTCTGTCAGCCGTGGTGGCACCTCCCCTGGCCCGCCCCCCGAAGAGGAAGTTGCGCATTTTGATTCCTCAGAATATTGGTCAATCTAAAGGATTCTTACTATTATTGGACAAAAGACGAGTCAATCACTCAAATAGCAGGACGGAACAGAGGTGAATCTAGGAATATCCCCGCCCATAGAAAGTGCTGATTGGAGAAACATTTGTTTTCTCTACGGCTGGTTGGTGTTAGGAGTGTTTCCCCACCAGGAGATGTGGTCACGTGATCTGTCAACTTTCACCCAGGATGTCTCCCTCCTGACTTCCCGTTAGCAACCAAGTCGCGGCGCTTGGTTCCCCAGCAACCGGGAGACGCGTCAGCTGCGTGGAACCAGCGGAGTTCCCAGCGCTTGAGAAGGTGAGACCTGGGAGCTGAGGCTCAGGGAGGACTCGCAGGGACAGACAGCGCCCGACTTAACTCTTTCCTGTGACCCTTTTCTCGGAGAACGCCGTCCCGGCCCCTCTCATAAAATGAGCACGTAGGTCCTCTCCCAGCCACTTTACAGTCGTGCTGACACAGCCAAGACCCTTTAGTCCTGGGCTTATCAAGCTTTTGAATAAAAAAGAAATACTAAGGGAGCATTTCCCGAGGGAGCAGGGCTAGAATCGACTTTTAAGGGGTTCCGTCTTCCAGCCTCCTTTCATAAAAGAGAGGTACCCTGTCCACTGATAACTTTTCCCAGAATTTAGCCATCATATCTGACCTCATAACTGTCAAATGATTTCATCTTGGTACTGTATAAACTGCTTTGGATGTGAATACGGATACTCAGGTTCTGCATCTGTCTCTGTCAGTAATTCATTGTATGACTTTGGACAAGTTCCTTTCCCTCCCTGGAGCCTCAGATTCCCTAGCTGGGAGATAAGGGCATTAGGATTTCCTTTTTTATGGCCTCCGGAGCTTACATGTACTTAAATAATGTTTGTGCACTGAGCAAACAGTAAGCATTCAGTAAGTGATTGATTTTATTCTTTTAAAAACAATTTTTGTTCAGTATTTATTTATTTATTTTTTAAAATGGAGACGGGGTCTTGCCATGTTGCCCGGACTGATCTTGAACTCCTGAGCTCAAGCAATCTTCCCACCTCGGCCTCCCAAAGAGCTGGGATTACAGGTGTAAGCCATCTCACCCAACCAATTTTCCCAATTTTCTTCTTATCAATTCATGGCCAATAGGGACTATAGTTTTCAGATCCTGTTGACCCCAGGTTATCGTTTCCCAGGAAAATTCTGGATCTGTTCTCTGCGACGAGGCTACTTCGTTGACAGTTGTGTAAAACTCTGCTGCTTTCCACAGCTCCAACCTCTCTGGTCTTCAACAACACTATCATCAGGTAAGTCAAAGGGGACCCAGGTTGGGTGGTAAACTACTAAGATCCCCATAGAGGAGGACTGTTTGGGCCTTGGCCCTGAACCCATGACAACTGTGAGAAACATTGTGAGCTGTGGCAACCATAGTCCCCAGTACCCTGGATACAGTTGAGTCATAATTAGGAAAATGGACTCTGCCGTATGCTAAGTGTATGAAGTTGGGCATGTTAATTAACCTTTTTAACTAGCTTCTGTTTTCTTATCTGGATATTGGTGATTATTAGCCCTACATGGAAGTTAAGTTTCTAGAAATTTCTCCCATTCACATCTTGCTAACACCCTGGTCATCTCTCACCTCAGTACTTTTGCAATTCTCAGTACTGCTGCTAAAGTGAGTTCTTCAAAACTAAGATCTGATCACATTGCTGCCCTTATTTTTTTTATTTTTTGAGATGGAGTTTTGCTCTTATTGCCCAGGCTGGAGTGCAGTGGCATGATCTCGGCTCACTGCAACCTCCACCTCCCGGTTTCAAGCGATTCTTTTGCCTCAGCCTCCCAGGTAGCTGGGACTACAGGCATGCACCACCATGACCAGCTAATGTCGCTGCCCTTATTAAGCCCTAGGTGCTTTCCAGGGGTTCTAGGATAATAACAGAACTCCCATAGACCTCTCCAACCTTGCATCACTTCAGCCAAAGGGCAACACGTCTGTTCTCTCCCACCTCGAGGGCCTTGCCACAAAGTTATCTCCTCCTTCTTTCCTACTTGTCCTTCAAATCAGCCCTGTCTTCCTTGGCCAGGCCAGGTGCCCTTAATGTACGATTTCATAGTTCCCTACACCTACAAATTGTCATGGTTTGTAATTAAATAGCTGTATTATTGTTTGATTCATGCCTGAAGCAGGGGTAAAAATCCATCTGTTTTATTCACAACATGTAGCAGTTCCTCACTACCCATGTTTGGACTAAATACGTGATCTCACACAAATGCAGGAGGGAGGAATTATCCACCTTTTACAGATGGGAAAGCCAAGGCTTAGATAGGTGAAGTGAGTTACTAAAAGATGCACAGTAAGGATCCAAATGCTGCCCTGATGTGCTTATAAAATAGCATATGTAATAACAATCCCACATTTCCTAGCATAGCAGTTGCTGGGCTTGACTGAAAGCAAACTTGATCTGTCACAGGTACCAAGGCCCTGATGAAGTAAGAGGGATAAGTGAGTTAAAGTTTTGAAATCAAATCAAAATTAAGAGTCATTTCCCAAAGTATAGCACCTATTTTTTTTTTTTTTTTTTTTTTTTAAGATGGAGAGATGGAGTCTCGCACTCTGTCGCCAGGCTGGAGTGCAGTGGTGTGCGCTCTCGGCTCACTGCAACCTCCAACTCCCTGGTTCAAGCGATTCTCCTGCCTCAGCCTCTCGAGTAGCTGGGATTACAGACATGCGCCACCACACCCAGCCAATTTTTGTATTTTTAGTGGAGTCAGGGTTTCACCATGTTGACCAGGATGGTCTTGATCTCCTGACCTTGTAATCCGCCCACCTCAGCCTCCCAAAGTGCTGGGATTACAGGTGTGAGCCACCGCGCCTGGCCAAAAAAAAAAGCCAAACACTTTGCAGAAAATATCAGCCAAATATAACACATTAAAATTCCCCCAAAGACAAGTTGATGACAAGTTATGGGAAACCTTAGGGGAAACCACTACACAAGAGGGGGGAGCTAGAGAGAGAGGCCGAGGGCTGGAACTGTCTTTGGGGGTAGAATCAGTCACCCCAACGAGGTGGAGCCAGTGTGAACAGATTGGAGAGAGTAGGAAGAAAAGGACCAAGGTCTTGGGAGGACGGAAGGCACAGGTGGAGAAGGGGTAGGGGTTGAAGGGTGTGGAGGCTATACCTCCCCTGGAAGCAAGAGAGAAGTGTGCACAAGAGCTCATTGGGACATTTTATGAGGGACAGTTCAGGGCAGAGGATGCATATTTGCAGAAGCTGCATCCAAGTGGATGGTTGGGTAGGAAAGAGGAGGGCAGTCTTAGAGGGAAGTCTCTAAGACCAGGTAACAGGATTGTATGGCCCAACCTGGCTTTTCACCGGACACCATCAGCCCTGTACCAGGGCTCCAGCAGTGCCCAGTGGAATGAAAAGCAGAGCACAGGGGCTGCCTAGCATCAGGGTCCAGCAGAGCAGAAGGACAGGAGGTTCAGGGAGGCCTGGATGCTGGGGAGGCATGTGGACAAAGATAGGAAGTAGGGCCAGCAGGGAGGCAAGAATCAGGGGCGGAAAGTGGGGGAAAATATCCCTCCTGGATGTCCTCACCAAGAGGGTTAAGGATGAGAATGTGGTCCAGCCACGAACAGCCACTGGAGTCAGCCTCACAGTGTGACTGACCAAATCTACAGATCCCCGCTGTGCTGTAGTGTCTCAGTCATTTCCCCCTGGACCATTAGTAACAGAATCTACTGGAAGCCGGGCATGGTGGCTCATGCCTGTAATCCTAGCATTTTGGGAGGCCGAGGCAGGTGGATCACCTGAGGTCAGGAGTTTGAGACCAGCCTGGCCAACATGGTGAAACCCCGTTTCTACTAAAAATACAAAAAAATTAGCCAGACATGGTGGTGGACGCCTGCAATCCTAGCTACTCGGGAGGCTGAGGCAGGAGAATCACTTGAATCAAGGCGTTGCAGTGAGCCAAAACTGTGCCATTGCACCCCAGCCTGGGCGACAGAGCGAGACTCTGTTTAAAAAAAAATTAATTAATTAATTAATTAAAAAATAACCTACTGGAGCTGGCTTCAGTAACAGAGGATTTCATGTGAGAAACAGGAAACTCATGAGGCCTAGACCTAGGGACATTAGGGACTGGAAAGCCTGCAAGAAGGAGGCAGCCTCTGTCTGTGTCGATCTGTCTGTCCTTTGTCGTTTGTTTTCTGGTTCCCAGGTTCCCATCTCTGCTTTTCTCTGTGCATCTGCCTCCTCCCCCTCTTGCTCTCTGCTTCACCCAGTCATTCCACACTCCCTATTTCTACCCAGCTCAAGCAGCCAGCTCCGACGGGCACTCTTATTCCACAGCCTCAAGTTCACATCTCCCACGGGGAGGATGTGAAGGGTCAGCCTGGGTCTCCTCTGCACCAGGAGAAGCTTGTGGTGTGGTGGGGGGCGTACACACATGACTGCCTGGAGGGGATGAGGTGCTCAAGGAAGAGGAGCTGCAGGCTGACAGGCCTGGCTGGGGCTGCCCAGGGAGCACAGTCCGTGGTTGGTACCCACAAGCCCAAATGAGGATGGGCACACAAAGTCAGAGGCCTGACACAGGGCCACAGTCATAAGATGAGCCAAGATCACAGGCTAAGGAGACCAGTGTGGACACTGGTCCAGTTGGTCC